GAGAAGATTAGCATGTCCAAAAAAAAAAAAAAAAAAAAAAAAAAAAAAAAAAAAAAAAGATTAGCATGTCCCCTGCGCAAGTTTGAAGACCTTGTGGTGGTTGTCTATTGAAAAAAAGCAGGCTTAACATTTTTGGCTTAGGAAGAAACAGGTTCGTTGACACAATCCGTGAAGCATGTAATGTTAGGAGTCATAGTGCGGGAGAGGGAAAAAGAACTGGAACAGATACGTAGGAAACATGAGGGGTGGGGGAGTGAGTTGGGTTGGGGGGGGAGGGGGTGGCGGAAGATCACATCAGGAAAGGGTGTTTTCAAAGAAAAGAGAAAAAAAGAGTTTCGACCAAAAAAGAAAAGGATGTTTTCAAAGACCCATAAATCGAGAAATGGTCCGAATTATATATAAAAACAAAACTGCAGCGTTTCGGAATGCGAAATTCACCGACTCGAGCAGACCAGGAGAAAGAAGGGGTTGCTTCAGTAGAGTCACAAAAACGAGTTATAATCGTACTATGGGGCAAGATACAGTTTGCAATTGCACTTCCGGCACCCTACCTGGCCAGAAAGCTGGGTTGTATGCATTGCCCAAACTGCAATTCGAAACTGTATCTTCGCACATAGTGCAATTATAACTCATTTTTTGTGACTCTCGCCTAGTTTCCCCCAGAAAGAAAGAAATCAACCGCCATGCACTTGGTTTCGAATACGAGATAGCATTAAAACGTGACATCACACAGCTGTTCCTTTTCCTCAGGAAGATCACACTTCGTGTTTTTTCCCCCATTTCTCGATTTATGCGTGGAACGATACAGAGAAGATTAGCAGTCACCGTGTGTGTGGCCTGTACAGCACCCTGGGCTTCTAAAGATAAAAAATAAAAAATAAAAGATTAGCATGGCCCCTGCGCAAGGATGACACGAATAAACCGAGAAACGGATGACAAGGACACCGCACTCTCGTCCACGCTGTGTTTGGACCGGCTGCGCCACGGCGATCCCCTCGAGTAGGCTCTCCTCCTTTTCGAAGCCCTGGGGCTTACCACCTGACTTGAAGTCTTCGTGACTTGGTCCCTGATCAACGGCCATGCCCTCTCGCCTTCAGACTGTTGACGATCGCCGCAGATCTGATTCGATCCGTCGCTCTGTTGACCTTTGGTTCACGCTCAATCAATTCAATAGATGCTTGAAGTCACGAGTCACAAACCACGACCGTCGTCCGAGGTGGTTGATGACGCCGCAGAATTGATTCGTCACTCCGTTTGTCAGAGGCAGGGCTGAACTGTGCACTTCACCGTAGAATTGGTTCAACACCACCTTGGCCCGTGATTAACCACAAGTAATCAACTTCGTCCGTTCCGTGACTCGGACTGACTCCCAATCCGATGTGGTGGTCGCAAATCGACAAGGATCCCTCAACTGAACTAGCTGTCATCCTGCGAATCGTCCCTGCCAGTCCCCTCACTTTCCCCCTCCCCCACCGCGCCCCGCCCCCGCCCCCTCCCTCCCCCTCCCCCGAAAGGGCTCGTCCTCCGAATATAATTCGAGTTGAAGTATAAGTAGTTCCCACACACATGTTGGATTCTCAGTTAGCACCCTCCTATCGTCTTCCCCCGAACATAACGCACTCGGATAATGAATGTGTACAAGCTATATTCCCGGTCAGGTACAGCCAAAATGAGGGTGCGTTGTGTGCGGTGGAAGACCGTGTTTCGAGAGCCGACAGCCGGCCGCCGAGTTACCAAACGTCAACGCCGTCGATTCCCACTGTTGACTTTTCAGAGCTGAGTTGTGTTGACTCGGGCTCCGCCGCTGTGAAATTTGCAATATATTACTTCACTCACCTGCCTCGTCTACTTCCACTGGCGTTCGAACACAATTCCAACCGTCCAGGGGGAGTGTAGCAACTGAGCTAGCCCAGTTGGTCGTCTTCGGGGCAAAGGTCAAGTCGAAGTAGTTCCTTTTCTTTTTTTCTTTTTTTCAAGTCGAAGTAGTTCCTCCTATGCCCTTCCTGTAAGTCTGTTAAACATTCGAAGAGCAATAAAGATCAGACGAGCAGAAAAGGATTTCGAAGATTTTTGGGGCAGAGAATGGCGAAGAGACGGGGAGGGAGAATGGGTAAGGATTCGAGAATAAACTGTGATAGCCACGGACCTACCGGCGGCATGCCGGGCTCGTCTGTTCGTGCGTTGTCTCTCTCGGCCTCTCACTGTCCAATTTGAAGTGCGGCTATATACCCAATGCCTGGAAATCCGCTCGACGAACAAGAAGCAACGCTGAATCTGATGCACCGTCAATAAGTAAGACGGGCAGACTGGGCAAAAAAAAAAAAAAAAAAAGACGGGCAGACTGGGGAAAAAGGAAAAAAAAAAAAAGACGGGCAGACTCGAACCCACAAGGTGACGTACTCGCGACCACATCGTAGGGAGTCCGTGGTGAGTCCCATTAGCCTGTAATTATTATTATTATTTGATGACGACCGTCGAATTAAAACCATCGACGGTCATGAATACAGTCAGCAATCGGCTGGGCTCAACGGCGAAAGACACCCAAGGCAATTTCAACGACATTCTGGACTTTAAACTACGGGACTCGCCGTAATACTCTGATTGGGAGTAGCAGTAGGTAGGTAGTGGAAGAGGTGAAATTGAAAGAAGCAGCTAGCTCAGTTATTAATAAATAATAATAAAAAAGACAAAACAAGGAAAAAATAATGACAAATCTGCAGTAACGAGCACCTGCGCTATAGAGCGTTACCGTGACATCGTTTTTTTTTTTTTTTTTACGACATCGCTTTTACAACCTCAGAGACTGCCCGTTCCGGGCTACGCTGAATCTGATCCACCGTCAATCAAGAAGTAAGACGGTGGGATGCGAACTGACCACCTGACGTACTCGCGACCAGACCGTTGGGAGTATGAAAGGTGAGGCCCACTTGCCTGAAATTAAGTGATGCCGACCGTCGAATCAAGACGATCGACGTTAATGTCAGGAATAGGCTGGGCTCTACGGCGAAAGATTCAGCGCTACACGTGAAAAAAAAAAAAAAAAAAAAAAAAAAAAAAAAGAAAGATTCAGCGCTTGCTTTCCAACGAACCGACGATTATGATGATAGCCTTTGGCAATTCCAACGACATCCCGAATGGGTAGGCTCTGAGACACCCAGTGCAATGCCAACGACATGATGGACTTCAAACTGACTGACAGCAAAACAAAACGCGGAAAAAGGAAAAGAGGAGCATCTGCAGTCTAGAGCGCGCTACCGTAGCATCTCGCTTTTACAACCTCAAAGACTGCCCATTCCCCTCTCTAACATATACTCAGAGCCTGGCCATTCAGCGCTTGCTTTCCCACGAAGCAACGAGTATGATGATAGCCTATCGCCCATCAAAATGCTCGTTCAGAACCACAGCCCGAATGCATCTTCGCTCTAGTCCTAGTACATTCAAAATGCTCGTTCAGAACCACAGCCCGAATGCATCNCAAAATGCTCGTTCAGAACCACAGCCCGAATGCATCTTCGCTCTAGTCCTAGTACATTCAAAATGCTCGTTCAGAACCACAGCCCGAATGCATCTGCTGCATTAAAGTCCAGATACCTGTCGAATGGTGAACAGTGGAACGAGGCGCAAAGTTATGCTTACAGCTTCAGTCGCCCTAAGAGGTCTCAGTTACTACACTCCACACATTGAAAACCTGAGATTCGACAAGCCTGTGCTGCCTTAACCGGACAGTTCTGATATTCCGATTGATCGAAAGAATACATAAATAGTACGTTACAAGTGTCACGCGATCCTCGATTTCCCTAATGGAGACGGTAATCACGCTCACGCGAAAACCCTTCGTGGTCGAAGGATTGAAAACCTGTCAGATCATCCTCAGATGCGACCATTGCATAATAGAGAAAAGAAACTCGCGATAGACATCTATATAGATATATCATTCACACACACACACACACACACACACACACACACACACACACAGATCCTTATCAAGCGATGAGAGAGAGAGAGAGGGTAAAAGAAGACAGCAGGAGTACTTACATGAGGTGTGCATAGAGGTCCTATAGCCGAGGAGAGAACAGATCGGACCGCTTCGAGCTCCTCTATCGTGTTGAAAATTTGGAAGTTTTTAGTACGCGTCGAGTATAGCCTCCGCTATCGTACTAAGAGAATTACATAGAGCTTTAGGGGCCAAAGATCACAGACAAACAAACTAAGAGACTAGATAGAAACAACCATAAAGTACTACTTACATGGCCATTTGACTTCGCTCTCTCGTTCGACTTTCTCCGCCCACTACATCTCCTCGTTTACCACGGTCAAAAAACGTTGGCGTCGAGATTAATCTTAAACTTCGAACGAAGGCCTAAATCCGTAAATCGCACTCCCAGCGATGGCTGCTTCCCCCACACACTCCGCGCATGTAAAACCACTGCAACGAACCGAAATCCACTTCCAGACTCTTCTCTGTTAGACTACTATGATCTACTATTTTCTTTGTTTTCCGCTCTAACAAAACTTTTCGTTCATCTCCTCACCTCCGCCGCTTCCCGTCTGAATTGGTCATCATCCCATCGACCTTCAACAAGATGTCAGGCTTAGCTCCACTTACCCACGCACAAGCGCGCGGGAAACGAGCTCGCCTTAGCTGGGCCCGGCTCCTCTCCATTCCCGCAAGCAGAAGCATTTACCCGCACGCACAACCAGAGAGAGAAAAGAGACTTGAGGTAGTCGGTCGAACCTAGAACTCGCATCCCCAGACCGGATATGTAATCGAAAGCATTCATGAACTAGTTGGTGTATAATAATGTGTGAACTGACCTTGGATTTGAACCTACCTACCTTGGATGTCAAATCCGACATTCCCAAACCGGGTTATGGAAAGCATTTGTTTTCTATATCGGGGGTTATACTTACGGATTTACCTTCGATTTCAAATCGGAACCTAGGACTTGCATTTCCAAGCAGGAACGCAGCCACTTCCTTTCTCTTGCGGATACGAAAACGAAAATGCTTTCTAGAACACGAGTGGGAAGCCTATCTTGAAAGCAATTCTTGGCCAACACTGTTCTTCGTTATGACACGCAGGATTTACCCACACGCGGCAAGAGATCGAGCGCCAGAGTCAGCGAACGAACGAACGAGCGAGCGAGAGAGAGAGAGAGAGAGAAGGGAGCGGCTAACCTGTTCTCGGTTATCGTACGCAGTAATTACCCGCACGCAGCCAAAGAGTGAAAAGGGAGCGGCTATACTATTGTCAGCTATGGTACGCAGGATTTACGTGCACGCAATGCGAGAGACAAAACGGATCGGCTACAATCTTCTCGGTCAGCATACAAATCATGTGCCCGCATACAAGCCGAGAGAGAAAACGGAGCGGCTACAATTTTCTCGGTCAGCATAAAAATCATGTGCCGCATACAAGGCGAGAGAGAGAGAGAGAGGATGGCGGAGGGTCGCTAGTAGCCCACGGAGTACGCGCAACTAAGGTCCACTCCATTAAAGTTTTGTCCCGAAATACAGTTCTTGGCAACCAGTTTGCAGAGCTTGCCGAATATGGCGATCCGGACCGAAATAGGCGAGCGCATAGGCCTGCCAGCGACGGCCCAGGCTGCTCCGAACGCACGCTTCATGACCACCCAGCTGCCGTCTGACCCGGCTACCTCCATCTTCAGTACTTTGCCGCTCCCGGGAATGCCCAGAGCGGTCACCTCGAGCCAGCCAAACATGTTCCCCCGCAAATGCAGCTTGAGCATCTTGTAAGGAGCGCACGGCACGCTGCGGAATTGAATCGGAACGTGACCAGCTCTTGGATTGGCAATCACGGGGAAGGCAGCGGTGGCCATATCCAAGTGCAGCTTGCCCCCACCGCACCATTGCGTATTAGGCGGACGATCGGGGCACAAGTCCGTGACGGTGACACGAACAGTCGCCGGCTTGCAGGCTGGGACTCCGACGCACTTGACCTCCAGACACATCCCGCACGCCATGCCGCCCAAGTACACTCTCGGCGAGCCCGCAGCATACCTGCCTCCAAACAGCTCACTTCCGAGTCTACCATAGCCACAAGCTCCGCCGCGGCCATGGTCATCATAGAAGGTTGCGTGACCGCTAATCCACGGCCCCGTGGCAGACAACAATGGATTGCAAATGCTGCCTATAGAGAAACCATTCGCTCCGCCGACATGGAAGCTAACAAGCGCCAAGACAGCAATGACCGCTCCAAGGAGAAGCCTGATCGACCCCATTGTCTGTCCTCCTTACCACGCGTTACGCAGGTATTTATATAATGCGACTCAATCATCCGTCTCCGGTCCCTTCCCTGCCTGCTTCGAATCTCCCCGCAAGGGCGCAATTCCTTTGAACGATGGCGGGCTAAGTCCGTAGTTGCCTTGTGTAATGGCGCGCTTGGTCCGTGCACAATGGCGCGCTCTTTGGTCCGTAAATGCCTTGTGAAAATGGCGCGTTTGGTGCGTAATTGCCTTCACAGCTTCAGGTAAGACAGTGGCGCGCACAGGCTTGGGCGATGGCTGATCTCAGCCACTAAAATTTCCGTCGGAATGCGCCCGAACCATAGCTGAGAATAGTTTAGTTGCTCCAGTAGCTGAGAACGGTGCGTAATTGCCTTCACGGCTTCAAGCAAGACAGTGGCACGCACAGGCCAGATCGATGGCTGATCTCAGCCACTAAAGATTGTCAATCTCCCGCGGAATGATCCGCCGGACCGTTCGCTTTCGGAATGAAAAAGGCGCGGGCAACGCACGGACATCCGCCGCCGTTCAACTTTCATCCGTTCTGAGCGGGGATTACAAAGACCAAGAGGCTACTGCAGCGGAAGCATGGCGGCTATGCAAAACTGTGACGCGCGCAAAAGTTGGAACGAAGGCGCGGCAAAAATTCAAAGCCTAGAGAATGGAGCTCGCTGCACTACTCTCGACATGCACAAAAGACAAAAATCATGGCCGTGCATCTTTCCATGTTCTAGCAGAAGATTCACTCTCGTTTTGCACATTTCTACAGTAGTGGAGCGAGGCCCAATAGATGCTGGACGGGGGCAGTTCTTCAAGACATCCGTACAAATTGGAACGATACGGAGAAGATTAATTAGCATGGCCCCTGCGTACGGATGACAAGCATACGGGCCGAGTCAGCAGATGCCAAACATTTCATGCAAAATGAGACAGTGGAGTGGAGAGGCGGCGCCTTGAAGACGGCGAGGAGAAGAGTGCCGCGCCCTGTCGCGCAAGGCATAGCCATCAACCACCGGAGCTGATTCCGCACTTTCCACGAGTTGCTATATGACCTTGGGTCTCGCCGCACGGCATACGAAACGAACACGAAACGAGTGCATCTGCCTACGAAAGGTGGCAAAATACACTCGTCACTATTTATAGCAAACCGATGAACCTGGCCATTTTCTGCAGGAAGATGCTGTCGTTTCGTCTTTCGTTTCGTGTCCCGTGCGGCGACCCGCTTGTTAGCCTTTCGGCACGAGCAATTAAGTTCCCACGCACTTGGGACATGGCGCCTTTGTCCGCTGCGCAACGCTCGGGCTGAACGTATCTGGTTTGGTTTGAATTCATTGAAATATGTTGGGTCTGTCTTAATGTATCTGGATAGTTTTGTGGACCAGATACGTTCGGAATATTGCGCGGACCGAGGTCCATGGTCCAGATCCAGATTTCTCGATAAAACGGAAGAGGAGGATGCAATTGGCCTCTGATATGCACAGATACGTCGCATCGCACTGACGCATCTGCACGTGGTGGACGAAGGGAGCCACGGGAAGAGAGCAACAGGGGGGCTAGCTCCACTACTCGACATTCTACATGCATTCAGACGCCTTCTTGGACCGGGTGCATTCGGAGAAGTGAAACATTGTGAGTGTATCGGGACGGTTCTTAGGTCAATATACATATAAAGTATTGTGTGGGGAGCGAGGCCCAGGGTGTCCCTCCGAAAGTCAGGAAATGGAGAGAAGATACTCCCCATCTTTGTTCTTTGTCTGGTGCAAAGATCCTCTCGCCATAGCTTTTTTGTCCTTTGTCGGGAGAGGACGACGGGCACATAGGGCCTCGCTCCACTCCACAACAATCTACAAAGGGTCCTACCAGTCTTCCCCCAAATACAACGTAGGGTCATTACAGGCTTAGGGCCTGGCCACCCCACTCTCAGATCTCGAAAATTCGAGAGTGGGCACAGCCACACAGGCTCCCCCCCAAAAAAACCTCCCATCTCTTAGAGAGCTGTCAGAACGCCGGTTTCGAGGGCCTTCTCGAAACCGCTCATTGGCACTCGAGTTGGTGGTCCATTTCGAGAGCTGTCAGGCCATTTTTCTGATGGCTGCGCCATTGTTTGGACAGTAGTGCGCCCAAGGAGAACAGTGCAATCTCGAAAGCAACTCTCGAAAACGCACCTTCTTCGAGAGGCGGAAGGTACCGGACACGCTTCCAATTCGAGAGTCCGCTCCACCACACAGCACTACCGAATAGGGCGGCGGAGAGCATCCAAGTTCGAGAGGAAAAATACCGAGTGTGCTATGTGGCGAAGGGCCTTTTTCTCTCGAAAAGTTCTGACAGCCCTCAAATTTTTTCAGTGGTGTGGCGAGGCCCTTATAGCTAAGGGCATTCTCACACTATCGGTTCTATGCTGTTAGAGTCACACTAGGGTTTTCCGACCACCAAAATTGGAAACGGGGTATCATTTGTCAGCGGCCTGGGGGGCCGCGGGATGGGCTTAGAAGGCCTGAATACTTGCCCTCCATTGGTCAAAAATTAGAAGCCTACGCAAGCAACCAGCTGTTCAAGGAAGGCCCGCAAGACGGGTTTTATGCCAAGCATTTGGGGCATCAGTGTTCAAGTTTTCACTTAAACCACCAGTACTTGGCCCAGCTATCGATTCCGAGGCTCGGCCGACCGGTACGCCGAGCCGTGGCGAGGCTCGGACTACCGGGCGTGGAGTTCCCGAGCGTCAGTCTCCTGGTACCCCCCAAAAATGGAAAAAAAAGGTTCAGTAGGAAAAAAAAAAAAAAACGAAAAAGAGAAATGAGATCGAAGAAAAAGAAATAAGACAAGCGAAAGAAAAACCAAAAAAAAATGAAGGAAAAAAAAAGAAAAAACGAAGTATCTGCTTCCCCGTGAGAGAGAGAGAGAGAGAGAGAGAGAGAGAGAGAGAGAGAGAGAGAG